CCCCCGAGAAGCCATAGTCTTAATGTTGTATTAATTAAAAGCTTTTCATTCTCAGGCATGCAAAAATAAAACAGGTTTAATATGCCTTTTCAATTACTCTTATAGAATTGATTAGTATTGCAGCCACACAAATATTTTTTATTGCCACAAACATTCTTAGAAGATGGCTGCATTGCAAATATGTAAAATAAAATAAGTTTGTACATTTGAATCAACTTTGTACAAATAGCCAAATGATTGCAAAATAAACTGTGTAACTATGCTAATTATTCATGATTAGATTTTCCTCAGTTTAACCTTAAATCATGTTTTTAAGCTTAATATAAAAGACTGAATTGTTCATCTAGGAGAGAAGGTTTAAACTCTCCCCAACTATATTCTAAAACCAAAAGAAATCTGTTGTCAGGAGTTAGGTTTTAAATTGTTTGTGACAACAGTGATATTTTAGACACAGGAGGAGTCGCTATGTTTTCATATTTCTTGGATACTCTGGGAGTGTTCGGTCTTTCCTGACCTATGTGTGTTCCAACATTTCTTGTATTCTCCATAATATAAAATAAAAACAATAATATGGACAATTGAAATTCTATATAATATGACAAGTAATTGTGCAAGCACAGAACAATATGCAGATATCTGTCCAACAAAGTCCCTGAGAGATAGAAGAAACAATACCCTTCAGAATTAAATATCGTTTTTTTTTAGATATTTATCCCTATTTACTACATAATGTCAATTTGTACTATTGTTTAATGTTTTAAATTAAAATGTTTAATGTGTGCTTTGTGATAACAAAGCCTTAGCCCGCTGACATCATCAAGTCTATGCAAACTATATTCACTTGCATTATCTGTGAGGATGGCGAGGGTCATTCCACAACTGGAGCCAGAGAGAGGTGAGCGCTCTCCGCCACAGGACTGAAGAACCTATGAGTATATCTTCTTTATTCTGCTCTCTAGACCAAAACAATGGGCAGCGCCACTGCAACGGTTCACTTTTTTAAACCCTAGAGATCTGTTTTAAAGCGTCTCCTGTGATCTTCACTCTGATATTCACTCCACTCCTTCCCCACCATAGGATGGATTAGAGATTTTAAAATTGGATTTCTAGCAGGAAGATCTCAGTTTCTTTGGAAGTTTAAATTTGCCATAAAAAGTAATCACAGTTTCCACCAGGATGCTTTCAAGTACCACAGAAGATTAGACCAAACAAATTATAAACTAAATATTCAACAAATTATCTTGTAAAGAGATACAAGATGTTTTCCACACAGGACCCAATTGTATTATATATACTTTGTAGGAACTCTGATATATGAACTATCTGTGCTGATGAGCCCTCAGGTTAAGGAAAGAGAAGTAGATGATCCGGTTGCTCTTATCACACCTCGCCTAAATTTACAATTGTAAGGGGTTCATTTGTTGTAAGAATATGGCAGAAAAGTTTTATTTTGCAGAAAATATGACTTTTTTCTTTTAATTATAATAATTTTAAAGTGGGAGTCCCACAATCTGTTCAGGTTTACCTTGAAAGTAACATAGAAACATTTGGAAATATCATAGGAACTCATGAGGTCCTATATATTCCATATACCTTTCAATGAGCAGAAGATAGTATGAGCCGCCCAGCTCAGAGAGATTTTCAGCCAGATGTGTGATAATAAGTACATCTAATGTTTGGAACTGCATGCTAAAGAAATTATTTCTTGCAAAAGACATGGAGGCGGCCATTGCTGCTTTATCCTTCTTGAAATAACCATGATAACCCTCTGGATTTAAGAATTTGAATCCCTAGCCTAGAAAAATACACACATAAAGATTATCCTGATCTACACAGTTGTGGCTGGTAAGTGATTAGGAATTTATTGATGACAGAGGATCAGCACACTAGCCAGGCAACTAGCCTTTATAAAATGTCGGAAATGGCATCCTTTATGTATTTTTAGTAAAGTTGTATCTACCTCATAAACCTTTAAAACGTAATCCTTATCTGTGGTTCATACTGGGACAATGAATTGAGGACATAATGGGTTCATGCATGGCCAACCTACATGTACCTGGTCATATAGAAAGCCATGCATATTTTATTCAACAGAAATCAGAGAAAAAAACAAGTGATCTTTGGGAAATACTGCAAAGTATCTGTTGACTATTTCCTTCAAACTGAAAGGATTTTTTCAATTGCAGTTGGTATCCACTGAGCCAGTTTCATGCATATGATATTAAGATTCCTTCATCATATATTCTACTTCATCGTATATTCTCTCCCAGTATTACAATGTTACTGACTGGGAAGGTAAGTAAAAACAAAGGATAGCTACACTGTTTAATTAGATTATTGTAGACATCATTTTTGCAAGGTAGATTAAGCCTATTAGGAATCTGGAAGCCCCGCTCTGTATTCCTATGTTGTCGGGAGGTGTTAAATAGTTATTTTCACTACATTTTAACTGGAGCCTCGTCTGTCTGTGTCCCCCTCTGTGAGGAGATTTTTCCTTGAACAGGTCAAAATGTTCTGCATTCTGAACCTATCAAAGCCGAACACCATGAAAGTCAATGGGGAATACATTCTAGGTTTTTTTTAGGGCCTCTGGAGGACAACTAAAGCAGTTGAATGCAAAAGGCATAGGAAATCCGCTATATGTCTGAGCAACATGTTGCATTAAAAAGAAGTGGAAAATGTGAACAGCGCTGGAAGGATATTTTATGTGGGATCAAAAGGGCATCATGAGAGATAAGCAAATCCTTCAATGTACAGCCCCTTAATAATGTACACACTGTAATCATTAAGAGTCATTTCTGATGCTCCACACAGCAACTACGTATGAGGGAATGTACACTTTGCTCTGTATATCAATATTTAAAAATTCCTTTGTTTGTACACATCAACATGTCCCCAAAAACATTTTTACTAAAATATCACCTTCCACATTCCACAGAACAGAGATCTGCTAGCTGCCTGTGATCTTATATTGCCCCAGCCCTAGTAAAAGTCCCAAATATCTCTCCAAGCCTTTTATGGAGGCCCTAATTAAAGGCATGGCACCAAGCACTCATC